AAGAACGTGTGAGCAGGATCTAGCCTGGGTTTCCCACACTATCTGTCCATTTATTACCCAAAACTCTCTCAGGGCGGGAGGGGGGCCCGGAACAATAGAAGTGTGCCATCCTTGAGAGCACGGGATAATTGTGCTTAATCGACATTCACAGTGAATGAATTCCAGTCAGAGTGTGTGAAGACTGAAGAAACACTTTAAAGTTCGTTAGAGCAATCACAAAAAATATGGGAAACATCAACTTTATAATTATAATCATATATATATATATATATATATATAATTTTTATTGACATTTTTTATTACATAAGAAATAATGTATTATATAAATATGTATTATAAAAATTTATTATAAAATTGTGTGCACATGTATATAAATGTGCATGTATGTATATAATATTAAAATACAGTTAAATATTTTGTTCAGTTTCTAGATTGAAAAAAAATTCTGTATGATATACTTTGAGAAATTTTCACTTTGAAATTTTTAGTGAATTACAAAGATAATTACAACAAAACAAAAAAACAGCAAGTAACACATTGGATTAAATATGAAATTTTAATAAAGTCTAAAAACCGAAATAGTATTTTCTTGTAAAACATACTCTGTTTTTTGTTGGGGGGGAGTTTTTATTTCTTTTTTGCTATTTATTACTTTATTTGCAATGTATTAAAAAATTACTTTGTACTCTATTATTATATGTATTATTCCTTTTACTTTACAATAATTATAATAAGAGCAATAATTTACCAAAAAGCAAGGATTGTTACATTTTATTTCATATTTTTATTCAATTTTACAATTGAAATTGTAATATTGTGTGCATATATATGTATATAATATTAAAATACAATTAAATATTTTATATTTAAATAAATATTTTAGCAAATTTTTCTATTACATCTAATTTACTCATTAGCATTTGTTAAAATAAATAAATAATCATAATAATAATCATCATTTTTCTACCAGCCAGCTGTTGTACAGGATCTGTCTTTGCCTGATAAGGTGTGCGACGTCTTATCTATATATCCGTTGCATCCCTTGGGAAATGATCATATGTCCCCATCTGCAGAAGCCTTATCAGCGAGCGCGGATGTTCCCAGGTAATAAAAGTACAGCAACCTGCCTGTGTGTGTTGTGTTCGGTGTGTGGAAGCCTATTCCCTCCGTGGGAGCCCTGAGGCCAGTTAACCATGAAATAATTGATGCATGTATTAAAAACAATTTATCTGTAACATTTAAAAAAAATGTAATGAATAAAAAATTTATAGATAAAACATTTATTATTATTATTATTTAAATATTCTCCCCTCTAAACTGAACCCATCTTGTAGTCTTCCTGCATATGAATTTCAGCCTGTTGTGTATGAGAGGTTATCAGTGAATGTCTATTTGCATATATAAATATACTGTGGCATGCAGAAATGTGTTTTGCACACATGCCTCCGTGTTTGTTTGTGTTGGTGGGATTGTGTGCAGATCAATCTCTCCTCAGGAGTGAAAGCGTACCTGCGGCTTTGAGGTGCGTGTGGGAGAGCGGGAAGCTTTGTGTGCACAAGCAGAGGACCAGATGGTCTATTGAGAGCAGGAATAATGAAGCGTGCTGGATCAGCGGCAGCAGGGTGGGGCGGCATGCTGAATGGGGCTGAAGTGTGAGAAGCAGACACTGACCAGAGCTCTCACACATTCCCCACTGGAGAGACCTGCAGCTGGACAGAGAGAGAGAGAGAGTCTTATTATATTCCTCTGAATGATGAGAGGCTCTATGGTGGAATGCAGGCTAGTCATTAAACTATCAGTGTCATCTGTCAGTATGGGCCACTGTTTGGAAATGTGAGTCTTAAAGAAGAAAGAAGAAAAAAGCTGAAGAATATAAGAGCAAGTTTCCCTCCAAAAAAACATCTGGCATTGGGTGGCCATTGATATTATTGATGATCCGAGTATAGAAAAATATATTTTTGTATCGGTTTACAAGATGTAGTACAAAATAAATGAAATAACAAAGTTAAAAATAAAAAATACATTTAAATTCAAGCATAACATTAAGCAAAATATGCAGTAACAGAGAGAAGGTAAATTCAGCAGTACCTGTGATATGTGAAACAGATTTGTTTTAGTATTATTTACATAAATGGAGCAATCATTTTAGGATTTTTAAAAATGTAATTTTAATTTTTATACTATTTTATCATTGTATTTTAGTCATTATTAATTATCTTACAGTAATTATATTTGTTGAATATTTGTCATTTTTATTATTTATTCATTTTACTTCACAATAATATATTATATTTATAAAAATAGAGCAATCATTTTTCAAAAGCAAGGGTTCTTAAATGTTGTCAGATTTTTATCATTGTATTTTATTAATGAATCTTATTGCAGTAATTTTTCAGAAAGCAAGAATTTTAACATTTTTATTCATATTTTTATTCAGTTTAATAATTGTATTTTATTAATTTGTCTTTTCTTTTTATAATAATAATTAATTTGTATTATTATGAAAATGTGCCACTTTATTATTTAAATTATTTAAATTTCTTAACATATATATATATATATATATATACCATCAAGGTGAAGCAGGAACCGTGTGTTCGCAGACCTCTCTGGAGACCCTGGTAGATGATGAATGACTTTGACAGAAAAACTAGATGGTGGTTTTACCATCTCTTATATTGTAGGAGATACACATTTCCATTTCTATGTTCATTTCAATTGCTTCATATTGAAGTTTCAACTGTTTTATTCTTAATAAGATTTGTAAGACATTTGCCTTGAATTTCTCTAGAGGCTTTTTTTTCTAATCCTAATGTTGTTTGGCTTGCAAACAGTGAGTTTGCTCTGAATCAGAGCTCTTTGTATGGTCCTGATTGATGTTCATTTGATACAGCCTTTTGTAAAGGCTACAGAAAAACAATATTTGTGCTTATGATGGCATTCTGGTGCATTAAAACATTGTGGACACTGTGTGTCTGACACTGCATTTAATAAAAGCAACTAATTACTAAAAAAAACATTTGAATTCATTCTTTCATTGATGTCTACTGTATATATTGTACTTAATAAATAGCAATGATAAATAGTCAAATCAAGTCAAGTCACCTTTATTTATATAGTGCTTTTAACAATACAGATTGTGTCAAACGATAGAACGGCAGAAGATTTGAGATGGGTCTGTAATTTGCCAGTTCACTAGGATCTAGTTGTGGTTTCTTAATAAGAGGCTTAATAACCTCTTATTATAATAATAAATAGTCACCACATAAACATTCACCAGAGATGATATGCTAAAAACAGCATGCCGTTTTGTTCAGCACTGAGCAAATGGTAGGAATGCAAATATTTGGATGCATTAGATGTATTTCAGGTTATAGTTGCACACAAAAAAATAAATGAATTATGTAGAAAGATAATCAGTCTTATATAATGATTAAGAGTTATCATCACTTATGTGTTCAGATAAGTTTGCAAATTCCTGAACATGTTTTAGTGACATGTTTAAAATATATTTCATATGCAAACCATTGTGCATCAGGGGTTATTATTGTTAACTAAAGCTTTAAAAAAAATACTTGAATAAACATTAACTAAAATAAAATCTAAAAAATGTTTGTGAAGTTTTATTTTAGCTAGTTTACCAACATTTCTCATCTTCATTTAGTTTTAACTTGATGTAAAAAAAAAAAATA